TTTCCTTTACGGTTGTGCCAAAGAAGATGAAATATTTGGGTATTTACCTAACAAAGGATGTGAACGATCTTTATAAAGAGAATTATGAAACTCTGAGAAAAGAAATAGCTGAAGATGTTAACAAATGGAAAAACATACTATGCTCATGGCTAGAAAGAATCAACATTGTTAAAATGTCCATATTACTCAAAGTGATTTAACAAATTTAGTGCACTCCCTATCAAAGCACCACCATCATACTTTAAAGATCTGGAAAAAATAGTACTTTGTTTTATATGGAACCAGAAAAAACCTTGAATAGCCAAGACATTACTTGGAAAAAAAAAACAAATCAGGAAGAATCACGCTACCAGACTTCAAACTATACTATAAATCTATGGTGATCAAAACAGCATGGTATTAGCACAAAAATAGAGAGGTAGATGTATGGAACAAAATGAGAACCAAGAGATGAACCCAGACACTTATCATCATTTTATCTTTGATAAGCCTATCAAAAATATAAATTGGGGGGCTCAGTGCCTGTGGCTCAAGTGGCTAAGGTGCCAGCCACATACACCTGAACTGGTGGGTTCAAATCCACCCCGGGGCCAGCCAAACAACAATGATGGCTGCAACCAAAAAATAGCCAGGCACTGTGGCAGGTGCCTGTAGTCCTAGCTGCTTGGGAAGCTGAGGCAGGAGAATCACTTGAACCCAGGAGTTGGAGGTTGCTGTGAGCTGTGATGCCACAACACTCTATCAAGGGTGACAGCTTGAGGCTCTGTCTCAAAAAAAAAAAAAAAACTAAGTCATGTATATGTATAAATTGGGGGAAAGATTCCCTATTTAACAAATGGTGCTGGGAGAACTTGTAGAAGACTGAAACTGGACCCAAACTTTTCACCATTAACAAAAATTGACTCTCACTGAATAAAGATTTAAACTTAAGACATGAAACTATAAAGATTCTTGGAGACAGTGCAGGAGAAATACTTGAAGAAATTGGCCTGGGAGAATACTTTATGAGGAGGACCCCCCACGCAATTGAAGCAACACCAAAAATACATTACTGGGATCTGATCAAACTAAAAAAGCTCCCACACAGCCAAGAACACAGTAAGTAAAGCAAGCAAACAGCTCTCAGAATGGGAGAGGATATTTGCAGGTTATGCTTCTGACAAAGGTTTGATAACTGGAATCCATAGAGAACTCAAACTTATCAATAAGAAAAGAATAAGTAATCCTATTTCATTGTGGGCAAGGGACTTGAACAGAAGCGCCTCTGAAGATGATAGTGCATGGCCTACAGACACCTGGAAAAATGCTCATCTTTAATCATCAGAGAAATGCAAATCAAAACCACTTTGAGGTATCATCTAACTCCTGTAAGAGTGACTCACATAACAATATCCCCAAACTACAGATGTTGGCAGGGATGTAGAGAAAAGGGAACACTTCTGCACTGCTGGTAGGAATACAAGCTAATAAGTTCCTTTTGGAAAGAAGTATGAAGAATACTCAGGGATCTAAAAGTCGACCTGCCATTTGATCCTGCAATTCCTCTACTCGATGTATATCTAAAACACCAAAAATCACTTTATAACAAAGATTTTTGCACCAGATTGTTCATTGCAGTTCAATAATAGCCAAGTCATGGAAGAAGCCCAAGTGCTCATCAACCCATGAACGGATTAATAAATTGTGGTATATGTATACTATGGAATATTATGCAGCCTTTAAAAATATGGAGACTTTACCTCTTTTACATTTACATGGATGGAGCTGGAACATATCCTACTTAGTAAAGTATTTCAGGAATGGAAGAAAAAATATCCAATGTACTCAGTACCATTATGAAACCAATTTACAATCACTCATACTTTCATATGAAGAATAGATCACAACTATGGCCCAAGATGAAGGAGGGAGGAGGGGGGCTCTGAGGGGAGGGCGGAGGCCAGATCGAGGGAGGGTGAATGGTGGGATCACACCTATGGTGCATAATGCAAGGGTACATGTCAGATCTATTAGTATAGAGTATAAATGTCTTAACACAATAATTAAGTAAACAAGATGAGGTATACATTAACCAGTGTGATGTAAGCATTCCTAATTCTATATGAAATCAGCACATTGTACCCCCCACATACATTAATGTATACATGATCTATGTGTTTATGATTTAATAAAAAAATTAAAAAGAGGTTTAAAGGTTCAGTGATTTAGAGATTTATTTGCAAAATGTGACACACACACAAACATGTGTATGTGTGTATATAAATATACATATATGTATCACAATCTAAATGTCACACAAATTCTGCTAAACAAATTGAATCAATACATAAATAATTTGCTTATGCTAGAACATAATAAAGAATACTATATATGCTAGGACACTGTAAAGCCTTTAAAACCAGATTTGCAAAATAATTATTGAGAGAGAAAGAGACTCAAAATATATGTAGTACAATACAGGGAAAACTCAAGACACACAACTGCATTTGTGGTACAATCTGAAATGCCCAACAGACATTTGAGTACAGATGAAAGCCCAGAAGGAAATTCACCAGAATCTGAATTCTGGTCAACCCTGAATGTTAGCAATGGAAGTTAGTTTTATTTTCCTCATTATAAAAGTAATCCATCCCCTTTATAGAAAATCTGGAAACTG